GCATTTATTTATGTTCCTTTGCCTGTTAGCCTTGGAAATGGCCAGACTTGATTATCTTGATTTGTCAACCATAGTCTTCAGTGGGTTTATTCTTAAGTTTATGCTAGATGGAAAACCCCCGCCACAAATGAAACCAGGCACATTTGCTCATCCCTACTTCAGAAAAGCATATGTAATTAAATACGGTTTTGCTATTTTTACAGGTTGTATGTTCCTTAAATCATGGTTGTGTTTTTCATCACTCTAGTGATGAAAAATACAACCTAAATATGGCCTTTTAAAGGTAGACCCTTAACCTCTATATAAGGTAGATACATTTGAAACTCTTATCTGACATGACCATTTCATCTTCCATTTAGAAGATTGCATATTTACCACAAGCTGCTCACTTAAGCTTCCCTTTGTTTTGTGACATACCTAGTTCTGTCCAAAACTGCATTTTGAAGAATTTTGCCAGTAGTTTTGGCCAATGTTTACAATCTGAAATATCATGTTGAATCTAAGGAAACATAGGATTTATTCACAGTATTATGACATTACTTTGCATGGAAGTTCATTATGGCCACTCTAATACCACAAGGAACCTTATAATTGATTTATGTACACATCTCAGCACTTACGGACAAGAAGAAAGAAGGAAGGGGAGGGCAGTGAACAGATGAGGAGGTAATGGAGGTAAATCCACGAAATCTGATCCTTATAATAATTACTGAGGAAATCTTGTTATCTACTAAGAAAGATCATTACTCATCACTTCCCTGCTCATGGATCCCTTGAGAGAAATGGAGTTCAGTACTTAACAAATGGAATGGAGTAGAATCTAAGTACATAAATGGCTGTTTGGCATAATAAAATAAAAAAGGGGAGTGAAACCAGTGAACTACAAAATGGAGATCCTATAAATGACCAGTGCAAAAAGATGAAGAACAGCAGAACATCAGAGTTAAAGAACACAGGGACACAGGGTGCATTTGAAAATGAGAACCTCGGGTAGTATGTAAGCATTACAGTAGCAAAAGAATAAAGTATTCTCTAAACAAAAGAATACATATATAACACTGAAGCAGAAAATGACTGGGGGGGGGGGGGGGTGTTTGTGGA